AAGCACGGAATAGTGACATGAATTACATCCTTCCAAATGTGTCTGTATGTTATCACATGTAGCCTTTACTTCTACGTGTGTAATTTACATTTTTTTACTTCAGTTGAATAATTTATATAAACAAAGATTCCAGGGGTTGTTTTTTTTAAAAGTTTGTGGGGAACTTTTGTATTTGGAGTATATTTTTCCACCAAGGTTATACTGCTGTGAACAGTGGTTATTTAGTTGAGCACATGGAACTTCCTTTAATATTGGTTGGGTCATTTTTCACTTCCATTTGTTCTGGTCTTCCCACATGTTTCATCTTTAATGTTTAATTTTTCCACCAGTATTTCAGTCACACTACTGAGTGATGAAACTTTATGGTATTACTGGAAACTTAAACTATTATCTTAAATATTTTTATGGAAAGACTGATTAAAAATTACAATACCAAAACATCTCTGTTTCATTGTCATAAGAAAAGAAATTGCTTTGGCTTCTTTTAATTTTCTTTTTGATCTTAGTTTCTAACTATTTCCACAACACATGATGAAAAACTGCTTGAGAGATATGTTAAAAACTATTTTACAAATAATTCATTATAGAAGCAAAGAATTAAAAATAAAGAAGCAAGCCAGGCAGTGGTAGTACACACCTTTAATCCCAGCACTGTGAGGCAGAGGCAGGCAGATCTCAGAGTTTCAGGACAGCCAGGGCTAAGAGAAACCCAGTCTTGTAAAGCAAATCAAAACAAAAACAAAAAATAAAAATAGTTAAAATTATAATAAAAGTAAAGAGGCTCATGAGAAGTCGAAGTGTATTAAAGTGTATAGTCTAAATATTTTGGAGCTACACAGTCAAAATTAAAAATAACTATTGTCTTTAGGCAAGATCTATAATAAAATGTAAAACTTTTAATTAAAAAATGATACTTCTTGAAATTAGAACCGTTGATTCATCACATACTTTTTGTTTTTTATAAAATATATTAAGAAGCTAAGTTAAGCCACTAATCCTAAGTGATTGTGTCTTAGTTCATAGTCTGTGCAATAGTCAAACATCCGAGACTGAGTAATTTATAAAGAAATGGTTTAGTTTGGCTCATGGGTTCTGAGGGTTGGGGTGTGTAAGTTTCAGTAGTCACATCTGGTGAGGACCTTATGTTCTGTCACGTGGGACAGTGTGTGAGAGCAGTCAGCTGGTACATCGGAACAGAGAAAAGGAACAAAAGAATCAACTCAATTTGTAAAAGTATGTCCTTAGAATAACCTATGACTAACCTGAGTTGGTAGGGACTATACTGATCTCATTATGGAGGCTCTATCCTTCTGGTCATACTCCTTTAAAGGTCTCAACCTCACAATACCATTATGTTGGTGATTAAATTTTCAACTGTGTTTGGTGGGGGCAAAGTACATCCAAGCAATCACAACTCTTAAGCAAACTCAGAAGCTAATGAAACATTGGGCAGAAGTTGAGGTAATACTTCTTATTTTAAGATTTAAAAGATATTTTCTTTTCTTTCTTTTCTTTTTTAGACAGGCTTTCTCTTTGTAACCCTGGCTGTCCTGAAACTCATTCTATAGACCAGGCTGGCCTCAAACTTGGAAATCAACCTGCCTCTTTTTCCCAAGTGCTGGGATTAAAGGCATGCATCACCACTGCCAGGCTGGTATTTTCTATCATCTGTCTCAGAAGGTTATTTTTCTTATAAAGGGTCTTTTTTAAAATTAATTTTTAAAAATTTTATGTGCGTTGGTGTTTTGCCTCCATGTATGTGTGAGGGTGTCAGATCTTGGAATTACAGACAGTTGTGAGCTGCACTGTGGGTGCTGGGAACTGAACCTCGGTTCTTTGGAAGGACAGCCAGTGCTCTTAACTACTGAGCCATCTCTTCAGGCCCCTATCTCAGATGTTTTACAAGTGTTTGGAGAACATAGTGTGGTGGTATTGTATTCCCCAAAATATTGTGTACCCTAATAAATTTATCTGGGGTCAGAGAACAGACAGCCACTAGATACAGAGGCTAGAAAATGGTGACATTCACGCCTTTAATCCCAGCATTCCAGAGACAGAAATCCCTCTGGATCTCTGTGAGTTCAAGGCCATATTGGAAACAGCCAAGCATGGTGACTCACGCCTTTAATCCCAGAAAGCAAGCCTTTAATCCCAGGGAGTGGTGGTAGAAGGCAGAAAGATATATAAGGCGTGAGGACCAGAAACTAGAAACATTTGACTGGTTAAGCGTTCAGGATTTCGAGCAGCAGTTCAGCTGAGAGCCATTGGGATGAGGACACAGAAGCTTCCAGTCTAAGGAAACAAGACCAGCTGAGAAGTTGGCCAGGTGAGGTTAGCTGTGGCTTGTTTTGTCTCTCTGATCTTCCAGTGTTCAACCCAATACCTAGCTCAGGTTTGATTTTATTAATAAGAACTTTTAAGATTCCTGATAAACATAGTGGTTTAAAAAAAAAAACAAAAGGTAATGTTGGTAGAGGGAATTATGAATTTTTTTGTTTGTTTATATTTCAAGACAGGGTTTCTCTGTGTAACAGCCCTGCTGTCCTGAAACTTACTGTGTAGGCCAGGCTGGCCTTGAACTCACAGAGATTCACCTGCCTCTGCCTCCCAAGTTCTGGGATTAAAGGCATTCGCCACCACCCCCGGCTTGGGAATTATGAATTTTAACTGAGGGGAAAATGTTAGTAATAAGTGGCTTTGGCTCAAGTTTAACACACACACACACACACACACACACACACACACACACACACACACTCACACACACACACACAGCTACACACACATCCACACTTTCTGAGAAAACTATGGTGAGATAACATGATTTATGCAGATTCACAAAACATGGTTATATATGCCGATACCTGTGTAAAATTGGTGATGAAGTGATTACTAAGATTTTTAACTTTCAACATGAAATTCTTGAAAAGGCTAAACAATTAGAGCCAGCCAGAAACCACAAACCAAGAGCTGTGGTTTCAAGTTTAATGTACTGAAGTTCAAGTCTGTTTTAAGTACAGTTTCCTGGAGAAAATATCATTAATTAAAGCTATTTTATTTGGACCCCAAGGAAATTTATGTTCACTTGAGAGAGAGAGAGAGAGAGAGAGAGAGAGAGAGAGAGAGAGAGAGAGAGCTCCTAGGTTAACCTATAGGTATTTTAGCAGAACAGTTGTTTAGTTTGATGCTTCAATAACAATTCTTGTTTATAGATAGATATTTTTGATGTGTGTGTGTGTTTCTGTGCATGTGTCCTCATGTATATGTAGAAGCATGCATAGGTGTGCGTAAGATAGACACGTTAAGTGGTTTCTTCAGTTACTCTCCCCCTTACTTATCTATTTATTTTATGTATATGAATGTTTTGCTCAAATGTGTGAATACACACACACATATATAATGTACTGTATGCATGCCTGGTGCCCATGGAGGCTGGAAGAGGGCATCAGATCTCCTGGAACTAGAGTTACAGACAGTTGTGAGCTTCCATCCATCTTAGTTTTTGAAATAGGCTCTCCAATGGAACTTGGAGCTCATCAACTAGTCTACGCTGGCTTGCCAATGAATTCTAAGGATTGAGAGCTAGGATAACAGGCATATTACTTTGTGTGTGTGTGTGTGTGTGTGTGTGTGTGTGTGTGTGTGTGTGTGTGTGTTGGGGATTGAACTCAAGTTCTCTTGCTTCTTCAACGAACCCTTAACCAACGGATCCACCTCTCCAACCCTTGCAGCCAGCTCTCAGCACAATGCCTGGATCAATATTCACTGAAGTAGTCAAAACGCTAAAAAATGGGGCCAGGGAAATGTCCCAGAGGACAAAGTTGTTTGCCACCAATCCTGCCTGACAATCTGAGTTTGATCCCTGGAGCCCGTATGGTGGTGAGAACACATTTCTGCAAGCTGTCCTCTGGCCTTTGCATGCTTGTCTTGCCCCAGTAAATAAGCAATGTAAAAATTGTTAAAGGATGATGTCTATTGAGCATAAACTAACTGAGGGACAGGTTATATAAAAGCAGTGAAAGACAGTTTCTGCTCTAGATTACAGTCCAACCTCACTTACATAATAAGTGGGAAATATGTTCTTCTTTGTGTCAGGCCTTAATATAGCCACCTGCTCCAGAGTGAACATTTTCTCCACAAGGGAGAACCACCAAGCCCCTATCCCTTATTGCAGCTTTGTTTTCCGTGCCTTTAAAGTATCAAATGAAGTGGGAAGTCGTGCAAAGAGGAGGGGCTGAAAATTAGGTAGCTAGCTATTGGTTGTTCGGGGTTGGCCTTTGCCTGTTCACATGCTCATGGGCTTGCAAACTTAAAAATGTGTGTGTGACAAGCTTATCAGGCCCTTTGTCACGATGTCTGCCCAACACCTACATTTGTGTGGCTTCAAATGTGTGCTTGCCATGTATAGACAAATGCCAACCTGTACTTCCAAGGGGGCACCAAGGAATGAGGTTGGAAAGAGGGAGGAAGGGAGAGACAGAGGCCGTCTTCAGGACCCTCTTACGGTTTTTTGTGCCAAGAAGTCGTCTCTACTCCAAAGCAGAGATCAGAGGTGAGTGTTCAGGCAAAACCAAACAAAATAGACTAGACTTTCGCTGGGCGTGAATCCCGCGCATCTCCCATGCCGGGACCTGTCCGTGGTCCTGAAAGCCTGTTCTGCGGCTCTCGCCAAGGGAAGCTGGGTGGAGGTTGGCTGCAGAGTTGACCGGCGGCTCTCGAAGCTCAGCTCCTGCACCTGTTTGGAATCCCGACTGAGACCCTGCTAGGGTTGGGGGCCGGCCAGGGCCAGGGCTGGAGGCGGGGCCTGTGCGAGGTGGGAGGGGTTGGGTAAGGGAAGTGGGCGGGGTTGTGGGGGGTTACTTCGGGGGCGGGGCCTGAGGAGGTAGGTGGGAGTGGGTTAAGTCCCGGTTGTGGGCCAAGCTAGGGTTATCGAGAGGGGCGGGGCCTAGAGGGCCCGGGGGCGGGGCGGTGTCACGTGCTGACGGTGCGCCTCTGTGGAAGGTTCCGCTTCCTGCGCTGCCTGCTCCGGAGCTCCGACCCCACCCCGCCGCCCCGCCCCGGCTCCCCGAGGCCCAGCAGCCTGGCCCCGGGGCGATCCCGCCCCTCTCGGCCGAGGCCTAGGCGCCTCCTCCCGCACCCCCCACCCCCGCGCTCTCCGTGCTGTTGGTGCGGTCCATGGCGAGCGCATCATGGCGATCGAAGGTAAGTGGAGGCCAAGCGACGCGCCGAGAAGACGCCCCGCGGGCGAGCGCAGGGCCTGGGAGGCCGAGGCGCGCGCGGGCTGTGGGTCCGGACCGTGAGGGAGGCGGCGGATGCGGGACACCGGCCTAGGCGCGGCGTGCGGTCCCCGCGGGGCACTGGCCTACGCGATTGAGGCGCTGAGGTGCTGAGGAGACTCAGGTTCTAAGGCGCTGAGGTACTGAGACGCTGAGGTGCCGAGGAGACTCAGGTACTGAGGCGCTGAGGTACTGAGACGCTGAGGAGCTGAGGAGACTCAGGTACTGAGGCGCTGAGGTACTGAGACGCTGAGGAACTGAGGAGACTCAGGTACTGAGGCGCTGAGGTACCGAGACGCTGAGGTGCTGAGGAGACTCAGGTACTAAGGCGCTGAGGTACCGAGACACTGAGGCGCCGAGACGCTGAGGTATTGAGGAGACTCAGGTACTAAGGCGCTGAGGTGCTGAGACGCTGAGGTGCTGAGGAGACTCAGGTACTAAGGCGCTGAGGTACTGAGACGCTGAGGCGCTGAGGCGGCGTGGGGACCCACCGGAGGCTGCCGTTGACAGTGGGACAGGCGGACCCGCTCAAGGTGCTGCTCCCGCCGGTGCCGAGCGGGCATTCTGGGCTGGTGATATCCGCGCTATCCCCTTCTGTTGAGGATGTCGGGGAGCAGGACATCTGCGTGAGGTTAACCCTCTCATCTGACCCTCAAAATTGCTCGTCTCCAGGGAGAAGTAAATGTCTCTTTATGACAGACGCACCCAGAAGACTCAACAGAAATATTTCACAAGTAGCTTGATTCCAATTAAGTTCCTGGATAAAGTAGGTGGTACTAATGTGTGATTTCCCTTTTTTCTGAGAACATGGGGCTGGAGTGGCGTGTAATTTGCCTTGCTTTTTTTTTTTTTTGTTTTTTGTTTTTTCGAGACAGGGTTTCTCTGTGTAGCTTTGCGCCTTTTCCTGGAACTCACTTGGTAGCCCAGGCTGGCCTCGAACTCACAGAGATCCGCCTGGCTCTGCTTCCCGAGTGCTGGGATTAAAGGCATGCGCCACCACCGCCCGGCTCTGCCTTGCTTTTAAAGAGAATATTGTGCAGTTAGTATCACACAGGTAGAGTGCCCACAGAATTTTGTTTCCCATGTCAGATGAACTCAGTGCAGAAAGATTTCTAAAACTTGCCTCTGGGACGTGTACATTCATGTGCAGGGTACCAATAGCCTAATCATCACTTGTCTACATTTCATGTGTTCCTCCTGGGTAAAACTTGGCACGGTAATTCATATAGGTGACTGGTCCCTGGTAGTATACATACCTGGGACACAGCCATTGAAGTACAGAATTGATTTAGCTGTGTGTTGCATGTTTTCTTCATTTTAGAGATTAAGTACAGGGCACATTGACATGATCTCAAGTACCTGCGTTTGCTAAGATGATGGAGAATAAAATCTATTTGTATTCTTTGGTATTCCTGTTATTCAGGACAGCATATTCAACCCATTTTCTTCCCAGTACAGTTTACTAGAGCTGGAAAGTCAGGGAGCAGAATCCACTGATCGATGTAGAATGCTTTATTTTGCCAACAACTTTGTGGGAGAATTTCTTGTAAAGTCATAAAAATAAAATTTTATGCAGAAAATGAAGTATTGGCCCAGACAGGATTCTAATATGATCTCATAACTTGTAACTTCTTATTGTCCAGTTTTTCTTCAATCATGCATACCTTCCTCTGGCAGTTAAATGTTACAGCATTTTGCTCTGTCTTTTGTATCTTTAAATAATAAGATTTTCTAAAGATTCTCTATGCTTTTTGGTGCTGGGCTATACTCCCAGCCTATTCTTATACCTATACATTTGTTTAAAGTTTCCATGATATAAATATCAACACTTAGGCCTTCTCTAATTTGGCAAGGAAACTGTAGTTAATACATTTCAAGGTGTCATGTTAAGCCAGTCTTACTATGCTTCTTAGTACTTACTAAAATAGGTGCTATTTATACGTACCATCCTTAATTTTTTCACCTCTGAGTAGAATCTTATTTGCTTGGTATGATAATACCATAAGCCAATATTTCTTTTAAAGACCTGCTTGGTAATCATACCTCTAACTGATAAAAGGATGATATAGTTACTTAGTAGAAATAATTTACTGTAAGATAAAAGTTTTATACAGAGGAGGAAATCAATAATTTAGTATTAGACTCAGAGGTGGTGAAACCACTGAACACAGCTACTAAGAGCATGCCTAAGTACTACAAACACTAGTTCTTCAGTTCACAACAAGGCTTAGCAAAGGACTGCAGACAAAGCTAGAGATAAAGACTGTTTTATGGTTGGATTAGAAGTTTAGGAGTCCTGAGGGTATTTCATTCAATAGTCTTCTTTATGAAATGGTTCTTAAAACAAACATTTCATTCACCTGTTAATTCAACTAACATTTATTGAATACCAGGTATGCACAATGTTCTGAAGTAGAATTTGTGGGATCTTCCCTGTTACAATTTGTGTTCTGATGGGACAAATAATTTTAAGTATATGGTTACAATATAGTGTGTATACTAAGAGATAAACTATGCATGCTTCCTTTGTATAAAAGCATTCAATGGTGATAACTTCAAAACTAATTTTGAGGTAATAAATGTCATAGTTTTAAGGTCTTTATATTTGGTCTGAAGTTTTGTATTGCCAAGTCTGCTATTCAGCAATTTTGGTCTAACCCCATCCTAGATTTGCTTTCTTAAGCAATACTTAGAATACACTCTTTTGTGTGTGTGTGTGTGTGTGTGTGTGTGTGTGTGTGTGTGTAACACCTTCTCTTCCATTTGCAGATAACAACTGTAAGCTCCTTGTTTTAAAATTTGAAATGTAGTGATGGAAAATTGTAGCTGGAGTTTTCCTGCCTGGCCCACAGTCAGGACAAATCTCTGTCTATCACCAGTCCCACAGCTGCTCAGACCCAACCAAGTAAACACAGAGACTTATATTGCTTACAAACTGTATGGCCATGGCAGGCTTCTTGTTAACTGTTCTTATATCTTAAATTAATCCATTTCTATAAATCTATACCTTGCCACGTGGCTTGTGGCTTACCGGCATCTTCACATGCTGCTTGTCATGGTGGCGGCAGGCAGTGTCTCCTTCTGCCTTCCTGTTTTCTGTGTTCTCCTCTCTGTTAGTTCCGCCTATACTTCCTGCCTGGCCACTGGCCAATCAGTGTTTTATTTATTGACCAATCAGAGCAAATTGACATACAGACCATCCCACAGCAGAAAATTCCATTCCACTTGTATATTGAAGTTATTATAACTTTACTTTGCTTGTACTTAATTCTATGAATGTAGCTTAGTATTAGAATAACCTTTGTGTAACTTCTTGTTGGTTCAAATGAGATTGTATTCAACCAAAACTATAGACTGTTTTACTTGGATTACTCATTCTATTTGTGTCTTCAGTCCTTTGCATAACCAAATTGTGTTGTGAATTGACAATAGGTGTTGTAGCAGTTAGGCATGCTTTTAGTAGCTCTATTCAGTGGTTTAACCTTGTGTTTAGTACCAACAGTTACTTTGATTTTCTCTTCTGTACAAAACTCTTTACCTTATAATCCCAAATTATTTCTAAGTAACCATCTCCTTCTTTACCAGCCAGAGGTATGACTACTAAGCAGGTCTTCATAGAAAGTTAGGTTGATGGTAATACTTTACTGAGCAAAGAAAATTCTACTGGGAGGTGAAGAAGTTACCTCTAAGTGGAAGTACACTTAAAGTATTTTTTTTTAGTATTATTTTATGTGTATAGGTGTTTTGCCTGCATGTGTGTTTTCATACCATGTGATAGGGTCTGGTGCCCATAAGGTCAGAAGTGGGCATCAGATTCTCTGGAACTAGAGTTATAGATGGTCATTAGTAATCATGTAGCTTCTGGGAATCACACCTGGGTTTTCTGGAAGAGAGGCTGATGCTCTTAATTGCTGAGCTTCAGTCCTACAAGTACATTTTCTAAAAGGCATTTCCAAAAATGGGCAGCTTATAGGTCCTAGCTCTCTGGTGGTTCCTGGTTGGAATCATTGTTTTACTTAAGCTGTCCTGTCATGACATTGGCTATCCAGGACATAGACTTCTCTATCAATCCAACTTTGTCAACTACTCTGTCTCTCTGTCTCTCTGTCTCTCTGTCTCTGTCTCTCTCTCTCTGTCTCTCTCTCTCTCTCTCTCTCTCTCTCTCTCTCTCTCTCTCTCTCTCTCCCTCTCTCTCTCTCCCTCTCTTTCTCTCTCCCTCTCCCTCTCTCTCTCCCTCTCTCCCTTCCCGGCTCTCCCTCTCCCTCCCTCCCTTCCTTCCTCCCTCCTTTCCTTCCTTTCTTTCTTTCTTTCAAATTTTTTATTTTTATTTTATGTGCATTGGTGTTTTGCCTGCATGTATGTCTGTGTGAGGATGTCAGATCCCCTGAAGGTAGAGTTATAGGCAATTGTAAGTTGCCGTGTGGCTACTGGGAATTGAACCCAGGTCCTCTGGAAGAACAGCCAGTATTCTTAACTGCTGAGCCATCTCTTGTTGACTATTTTCTAATTTTGAAGTTTTCTCCTGACTGCTTAGTTTTCTTTGCTTATCTAAACTTACGTTCTTTGTGTTTCTGTTTTCAACTCTGTTGCTATTATCTAGTCTATTCATACTTCTCATATTGAACAATTTTCTAACACTTGTAGTCCAATTATAAATTCATAGAGGATGAAGTCTTTTTCAAGTAGCACCTGAGCATCTTACATCCTCAATCCACATTTCTTGAATTATCTCATGGAATTCTGTACATAGTCTTCATAGATTACACCCATTGTCTTGATGCCTGTCTCTAGCAGAATTTTTCTGTAGTAGATAGATATCTCACTTACATTTTAAAGTAGTAGCTAGAGATCCTCACTTGGATGTACCAAAGCAATCCAAAATGTCCACCTTACAACATTCAGGATGGCCTTAAGTTGTCACCTGTC